TCGGATCGTGAAACAGTTTTTTTTGTTTTGGGTTCCGTTTCCGAGGCCAACTCGGAGAAGAAATTTTTTCGGATTCGGATTCCTACTCCAGAAAATTCCGAATTGTTTTGTAGTCTAGCGACATGTGATGCATATCAATTGTTGATATCTTGAAGGGAGAAAAGAGTTAACGGTTTAGTAAGGAATGAACAGGCTATTTGTTTATTGAAAAATTAAAGAACATTTTATTGAATTATTATATTGAAACGACATTACGAGTAAAAGGATTTTAAGAGAAAAAGAACTTGGAAAATTAGTAAGAGATGGTGATCCAGTAATAAAATTCATTGATAGGAAAAGACATTAATCTCAAGAGTTTTGTGGAATTGTTTTGATTATATTATTGTAAATGGTGATCGACAACAATTTGTATGTTGCAATGCATGCAAAGAACTATTTCTACATTCATCGTTAAGTGGTGCTAATAATTTATGTGCACATGTTAAATCGGGTCCAAAGAAAGGGAAATCAAGTTTTGCTTATCAGAAAAACTGTTCACGACTTTTATTCTTCTTTAAAACCATCGCCAAATCCTAGAAAAATTAAATTTTCTGCTGCAGAAGCTTGTACAGACTTTTTGCGCTCTTGGTGCACGTGCATTTGATGTTGTGAAAGGTGATGGATTTAAAAATTTAGCAAAAGCTTTATTTGGTGTTGGTCGAGGCAGCAATACATCATTTATTGAAATAACAGATCTTCTTCCACACCCGACCACCGTAAGAATAGTAAAATATTTTAATAAATTGATTATGCTGTTATATCTTATATGTTTGCAGATCAGCAGGAATATTACTCGACTTTATGAAGAAGATAAGATTCAATTAATTGATATTTGGGAACAATTAATAAGTTTTTGTTTGATAGTTGATAAATGTACTGAAGCTTATACCGGCTAGAACATTAAATATTTTGTGTATGCATGAAGACAGCTATGATCTGAGTGTTTTTTTCTACATGCATTTAGGTATTAGTTACTGTGGCATAGCTTTACGATACGTTGGAGAATATTCTCAATTATTTACGTTCATCATTGGTTGTTTTCCATACAATGCAGCTAGTCATTCAGCACAACATCTTCGAGAATTTGTTAATAAAATATTAGAAGAATATAAACTACAACTGGATTCAACAAAATTTGTTGTTACAGATAATGAGCCAAAAATGTTGCCAGCATTTCGGGAACAATGTTCTCGCGTTGGTTGTGTTGATCACTATTTGAATAAACAGTTACAACATGCTTTTCAATCAGATCAAATTCA